TATATATATATATATCAATTATATCAAATATTACAATTACATATCTAACAACTAAATGTAACTTTTACATACATAACACTGTACTTCACTTTTTTGAAGTTAAAATGATGGTACATCTAGTGATTTGAAAGATTTGGGTGGTATAATTATAAGAAAGTAAAGCTTAAGTGTAAGATATGTAAATACATGAAATTGAGTGGTATGGATGTAAATGCCACTATTATTTCTAATGGCAAATCATCCATCTCTTTCAAAGTTTTTTTTTTTTTCGTTTCTCCTTCAAAATTAACCAGCCTTAAAAATCAATCAATATTAGGGACAATTACACACAGATCATTAAAAATTTGCTATTTACAAATCAACCACCCTCTTTCATTCATTTTTCAAATTCTCACTCGCATGTCGAAATTCTCAGTAAAACCCCGACCCCTATTTTTCATTTTTATCAAAATCTCAATAGCTTCATCGTGACTTGCGTAAATATATCTGTTTGATGGTTCAAATAAACAATCATCTGGTGTAATTTATAAATATCAATGTTTATGGTGGTCGTTACGTAATTATCCCTAAGAAATAATAAACTTTCAGCTAGTTTTTCTACATATATTAATTTTGCAAGTTATTTAGGGAATTGACAGAAAATAAAGAAAAATAAATTAAGGGAACTTGCATGCATACCACACTATTTTTATGTATTTATATATCTAACACCTATACTTTCATATTTACATTTATAAAACTTAAGTGTCATAAAATCTTTCCATGAAAAAGTGTGCTTCACTTTTGAAAAGTAATCAAAAGTGAGAAATTTTGGTAAGTGTTAGATATATAAATACATAAGATTTGTGAGGTGTTTATGTAACTGCGTTAAAAAATTTTATGTGAGGCTGTTTTAGTCCAAAAATTTATAAAAATGTCAAAATTAGTCTCCGGACATTTTAAAGTGAGACAAAAATAGATCCCATGAAAGACTATTAGAACCTCAAATTAAAGATTCTGACGACTGCTTTGATACGTTTATAAACTCTGAGACTAAAACAGTTCCATGTAAACAGTTAGAGGACTATTTTAGCACTTAGCTCAAAAAATAATGTAGCACATACTAATCCATGCATACATTTCGTGTCCCAAAGATGATCCATTTGTCTCCTACTTAGACACTTCCTATTTTTCTTCGCATTTTGGACCTCGGTGTCAAGGACAATTTTCAAGGGAGATTTACATGCATATCATTGAATTCATATGTATGTACGTATCTAACACCTAAACTATCCATGCATGAAAATGTATATTTCACTTTTCAAAAGTTAAAATAGTGGTATTTTTTATGTGAATGTGATGTGGTGATGTGAAAGATTTGGGCGGTATAAATGTAAAGAAAACAAAGTTTAGTGTTATGTATGTGTAAATAAATAGGAATCGGTTGGTATGTATGTAAAGGGCCCAAAAAGAAATTATGAACTTAAAGCTTCACAAGGAATAGAAACCATAACCAAAAGTAGTATAAAATCTCATAATATCAAAAGTACATGAATGACACTATATCCACATTGTACTGATGCATGAACTAACTTTAAACAAAACAGTCCCTTAATTTCAACTATTTGCAGTTTTCAAAGGTGGAATCTAACTTCAGCAGCCCTGAGATTCATGCACATTATCTTGTACATTTAGAAATTATAATGAACATCTCTGAAACATTACAGAAAACTAAACACTATTTATGAAATCAAGGAACAAGAGGTCTGAAATGGAATGCTAATCAGATTGCATGATGGGGACCATGTAAACACAAAACAAGAAGATGCAAATATTTAAATTTCATTACTGACCACAGAATAAAGGAGCAATGAAAATTACCAAGATAACCTTGATCTTCAAAAATATCCTTGGGATGAAGCATCTTCCATATCACAATCATTTTGCATTTTGCATTTTGCATTCTTCGATTTGTCATTTTGCATTCTTCAATTTGTCATTTTGCATTCTTCTTTGTCATTTTGCATTTTGCATTTTGCATTTTGCATTCTTCAATTTGTCATTTTGCATTCTTCAGGGCAAAGAGTAATCATTAGATTAAATCCAATACTATGATTACTAAAATTTTCGGAAGCCAATGTTCACTTACTTCCTTCTGCGCTCTTAAAGCTTAACAATAAGATTTAAGGGCCTGTTTAAAGTGGCTGCTGGCTGCAACTATTGTAAGTTTTGAAGGTAGAAGACAACAAGAAGGTTGAGGAGAGGGGGTGATCCAAGCTGGTTCGAGCAGGTCTGGTTGATGGGCTCGCAAGTCAAGCTTACCGAGTTGTGAGTTTGAGCTCGACTCAAACTCAAGCTCCTTTTTATATGAGCTTGAGTTCAAGCTTATTGAGGCGAGGCTAGTCGGCTTGTGTGCTGGCTCAAATAGTCGGTTGCTAGTCACATCGATGACTTCTAAGAAAAAAAGTTAGAAACACAAAAAGAAATTTTAAATGAGAATTAAGAAAATTTAGAAGCTATATTAATTGAGCCGAGTCTCAGCGATGTTTAATGTCACTGAGTCCAGTCTCTGCATGGCTATTTTGAAGCATATAAGCCTCATATTATCAAGAGGATAAATTATGCAAATGCAATTAAATTCTAAAAAGATAAAGGATCCAATATAAGTATTATGAAAAATGAGGGATCTGCCCAAAAATGATAACAAGCAAAAAAGTTGACATAACTAAGCAGTTCCTTAAGTCACTTAAACTGAGCCTCCTCTGGACCAACTCAGACTGACAATTCCACCAAGATATGCAACGCTTCAATAAGCCACGATTGATGTAATCATTAAGGCAGAATCCAAGGTTATATGTTCAGACGAGAAAAACAATAGTTACCAAAGAAAACATCAAGATTATGATGATTCATTTGAACCAACAGATTTACACCACAATAACACAGCAATATGAACTAAAAACAACTTCAGTCGCACCTCAATACATATTTACATATCTAAACTTTCATATTTTCACACGTAGCAACCAAATTTTCAATATCACATCAAAAATAGTACTACTATCACTTTTTGAAAGTCAAATACACTTTTTCATGCATAGGTTTAAA